CTTTGGAGGAGCAGTGGCACCACACATTTAACTAGCAACCTCCCTTGCCTACATCACAGTCTGAAACCCTTGAGCAGCAATACGACATGCTTACCTACTGTATCACCAGCCATTGGAACAGTGCCATTGGCACTTACTGGGCATGAGCCAGAGGAGGCTGCAGTTGATAATCTCTCCATTCCAGGTTCAGAAAAAGTCCTAGAGTTGTGATCCAGCATGGACTGGCTTGACCACACACAAAATTTTTGGTGGAACAATGGAAGTGCTTTGCAAAATGGTGTGATGTGCCGCCATTAGACTCATGGCCCAGGGGTTGCATACTCCTCCTCTAATTGATTGTTGTGAATAGTGTCCATCAATCAAGCAGCATTTTGCTTAATATCTTCTTTGTTGGTTTCTATTAATTCTCTTGTGATTCTTCAAAATGTTTAGTGCAGGGGTGTCAATCCTACAGCCTGCGGGCCGGAAGCAGCCTGTCCATGGCTTTGATCAGACCCGTGGCTCTCTTCTCCACCCCCACCCCTCCCCTGCCTGTCCCTTACCCTTCCAAGGGAGATTGGGGTTGCCGAACTTTGCAGCTGGCTGGGCCTTGTCTTCGCCTGTTTCTCCTCCAGCAGGAAGCTCCTCTGGACTAAAGCACAAAAAAAGCTGCAAAGAAAATGTGGAATAGATTTTCCTTCAAGGTCTCTGGGCCCAGATAGGCTACTCTGGGACTGGAATGACAGCCCCCAGAGTAGAATGGTGGTCCCTGGGAGTAGCAGCTGCATTCTGGGAATGGAATTCAGCTCTGGAGGCTGTCATTCCAGTCCCAGAGTAGTGTATCTGGGCCCAGAAACCTTAATGGAAAATCCATTTCACATTTTCTTTGCAACTTTTTTGAGCTGCAATGTATTACAATGAAGTGGAGCTCAAGTAGTTTCAGTTTCCAGTGTTTGTATGCCACTGTAGTTGTCCTCTTGCAAATAAAGGGCTGTTTGGAGCCAGCTTGTCTCTGCTGAATGGGCCAGAGAACGGGTGCCTGAGTGAGTACTCTGACTTGGGAACCCCCAGTGAAAGGGGAGCCCCTGCCTCTCTGAGCGAACCCACAGTGAAAGGGGAGCCACTGCCTCTCTGAGCAGACCTGGAGGTGGGGGTAGAAGCTTGCAATGCCCAGCCATTACATGTTTTCCTAGGCTCAGAACATTTTTTTATTCTTAGTTTTAATTTTTGGTTTCTGCTGTGATCCTTGTGCTTTATCTTGATGTTTTATTTTAAAATTTGCATTGCCAAATCCCACAATCCCCCCAACTTTCCAATATAGGTAGGCATCTTTTAAGGGCAGGGCGGGGGGAAGGTTTGGGAGGTGTCAGTTATCAAAGACTGTTAAATAAACAAAATATGGCAAGAGTGTTACTGTTTTAAACATGTTTGTATTTTGGTAAAAACCCTTTAATTGTGTTTGTTGGTCTTCTTTATAAAGTTAATATCTTCGCTACTTGGCATTACATTTTATGACAGACATGGCATGGCCTGACAAAGTGCCATTTATGTCAGATCCAGCCCTCATAACAAATGAATGTGACACCCCTGGTTTAGTGTGATTGGAGCACTGTCCAATCGGATCTAAAATAATCAGTTGTTTCTGGGTATGTTTGTTTGGAGTGATTGGATTTCTTAGTGTCTTTACACTTATGGCTGCTCCTTTGGGGTGAGTGCACAGCCAGTAAATTTAATTACAGTTCCTAGGGGACAATATAATAGTGCACGCGCCTGGGGTACCTTCAGTGTACATGTACCATCATTATGAGTTAGGAGAGAACTCTTACGAAACTGATGTATTTTTCAAGCACATACATTCAGGCTTAGTTCTAGACAGCTGTGTACATGGGCAGGGGAGAAGCCTGCATATACTCAGAACAGTTTTGAAAATGTTTACTGCAGCCCGTTATCCAGCTGAAGAGACAAGCTGGTTTTAAATGAAAAGTGGCTTTCCTAACCTGTTGCAATATTAAGCTTCAAAATAACTCCAGCTGGGCACAAGCCTTCCCCACTGGGATTTACAGCTGTCTAGGATTAGAGCCTTGGTGCTCAGAATGTATATCCATTAGCATTGCAGTTCTGTTTTATACAACTAGAATCATGTTGAAACAAATGCCTCATTTGGCAACTATTTGGATGCTCTTGGGGATTGTGGATAAATGTCACTATAGGACAATGTTCCAGTCAGCAGCATTTTTGAAAATTGACAAGCAGTTTTGAATGAATCATGCCTTTGTGTCCGAACCATGTGTTTGTGTTGTGCTTCAGTAAAGGGAAGCTAAGTGTTAAGCAATATGAGAGATTGCGTCCTTAGCCACTTTGAGCTAAGCACACTTGTCCCTCCTACATGCTTTGCTACAGTGTCTTGGTTTGGCACCATAAGGAAGCAAAGACAATAATCAGTTTGGCAATTTGTTGTGGATTTATATAACTAGTTCATTTTGAAGGTGGCAGCTTCTGTCCCTCCCCCCTCCCCCAATATAAAACAGCAATATAAAACAGCTATGCAGGATAGTTATATGGAAAGGCAACAGAGAACTGGTAGGCCCAAAAAGATAGACAATGTAGAGAAAGCATTATAGTGAAAACTGGACTAAATTCCTTCAGTGCTTTAGAAAATTTTCAATTTATTTGGATAGTGCAGTTTCTGAAGCACAGCAGATGTGATGTCAGTACACATTCACTGCATTGGGGAGTGGGGAATCACTTTCACACCTAGAATGAGATGAATAGTGCCATCCTAAGCAGAGGAACACTCTTCTGTGGTGCATCACATTGGTTGGGGAAAAATCACCCCACATTGGTTTACCTAGAACTACGGCTTCTTAACTGTAGAATCTATAAAAAGATTGTTCCTGAATTTTAATTTTAAGAATTGTTTGTTTTCTCCATTATATTTAGATTCTCTGCTGGTTCTTTATGGTGGTTTCATTGTGGACTCTTATATTTTATTGCTGGTTTTATTTGGTATATGGTGGGTTTTAATCATTACAGTTTTATTAATAGTGTCTATTTTAATAATTGTTGGAAGCTGCCTTGTGAATGCTGTGCCAAGAAGCAGGATATAAGTATTTTATTAACCAGAATGTCTGTCTTCAACCTTGAGAATGCTTTGGGAGCTTTTAATTTTTCTGCCAATCCTAAAGGAATTCTCCAAAACTTTTAATCCTATCATTGTAGTATTTACTCCAATGCAAGACTAGTCACCCCCCCATGGGCCATAAAAAAGAGGGGGTCATATTACATTCACGTACGATGTATATAACATTTTTAGTGAGGTTGTCTTACATTCAGAGGCACCTTCCTTTTAAGTAAACATGTTTTATATGCCTGGTTGCATTCCTATACGTATGCAACAAATCCCGTACCGCAATGGCCATTATACCATATGTGTGTATAAGCAAGATAGCATCACTGTTGCAGTATTACTGTGCTCAGCTGGAATAATAGATCCTTGTAAAAACTGGAAGAAAACAATCTTGGGGGGGATTGAAAAAGCAGAACAATTGGGGGGGGAATTGTTCTATAATTTATATAATTCATATGTTCAAATATAAAATAAGTATTTCAAAGCTAAATTTGAGCACTGTTCTGTTCACCATATGTTTGAGTTTTAATTTCTTAATTATCTGCCTTTGCAGAACCCATAGCTAATCAAGGCCAATCCTCTATCCCAGTGCAAGGCTATCCATACATCAGCTCCTCTTTTCTTTATTATTAGAATTAGGTTATGGTCACACACACTAAATCATCCACTTTGAATCCACTTTCAGTGCGCTTACCAACTGGATTTTACTGTGTGAACTGGCAAGATCCAGCTGAAAAGTGCATTGAAAGTGGATTCAAAGTGGATTATTTGGTGTGTGTGACTGCAGCCTTATTTTATCCTGCTTTTGTCTAACACTCGAAAGTGGTTTAGAAAATGAGACAAACATAAAAATACAATTTGCAAAAAACATCTACCTGCCGCAGTAGGACCCCCAGTACAAACGTCAAGCAGATAATGAGCCATAGGAACTGCCCAAACTAGTGATGGTTCTGTTAGTATGACACACATGGCCACAGGCTGCCACTAGTTCTAGCTATGCCCAGGCTTACATTACTTGTAGAAAGGGATGGGCCAGTGCTTAGTCCAGGTCTTATGTTCCCGGTTTCTTCAGTAGTTATTCCACAGAAACCAGATTATGGGCTAGAAGAATCTGAGAAGAGGCTAAATTTATGCCAAAAATACCTACAGAATAGACAACAGTGAGAGTGTGTGTGTGGAGAGAGAGAATGGGACTTAAGCATGATAAACAACCAAAAAGAATAAGAAAATAAAAAAGAATTTCTTTTTCTTCTTCTTTCTTTTCACATTCTTCTCGATTCTTTCTTTGTATTTTCTTATTCTTTTTGAACTTTTAATCTTTGTTAAAAAAATTCAATAAATATATATATATATTTAAAATATGATAAACAACCTGACTGGGTTGAACTCCATGTAAAGTATGATACGATTCCTTCTCATTATAAACATGTTAGATGTTATAATAAAGAATAAGGTATACAACATTATTGTTTTTCTTTAATCTTGTACAGATCTGACAGTATATTCCATTTTGTTGTAATGTCTTTACTTTTAATTCCGTTTACAGTATCCAAAACAAGCTGTTTTAGGGGTAATTGTTGAAATGAATTTTAGTTTTAAAGCCCTAGACAGTTAAAATATTTGCTTATTTAATAAAAAAATTCTGCCTGTCAACCTAAAAACAGTTTTCAAGGTACCTTACAATATTAATTTAAACTATAGCAAATCATCAAGAAAACAAAATATTTAAAATAACAATTGCAAAAATAGCCCACAATAAGACATTAAAATAACCTTAGCTAGAAAGAGCAAGGGTTAAAATATCATATATGTGTGTGTGTGTGTGTGCATGCACGCATGGTTATTAGTTCACATGCATTAGTATATATAGAACACATTTTATTTATATTTCCAGTTAAAACAGAGCCAATGAGCAGCAGTGAGATTGCTACTACTACAGCAGACGGATCTTTAGACAGTTTCTCAGGATCAGGTAAGGAAAAAGGACATAAAAATAAAGAAAAATATTTTAATTGTTATTCAGTGAATTTTTATGTATCCCTTTGTTCGCTCTTGCCACTTTTTAGTTGGCAAATCTGTTTCAAAATTAAATTGCATTTTACACACACTGTCTGACTGGTCTAAGGACTGTAGAAATAAACTGAACACACACTGTCTATAATTTTTTTTCTGTATTTTTTTGCCATTCTTTGTTGAAATATTGCTGGCATTTTACAAGAACTGTTTAGATCTAGTTCTTAAATAAACCCATCGTTATTCATGTGAAAAAAGATATTTTGGTTTCTGATGCATTGTTGTGAGTACAGATAGATACAATAATAATCATCTCTGGGTTTTTTTTAAATAAAGGTTTAAAAGTCACATGTATTTTTACCCATGTACTAACTATAATATTTTAATTAAAATAATCAAGATTTTTCTTTTAAAAAATTAACTTCTCCAGGTATTACAGGTGGAATTTTCTTAGTGAATATATGTATAGCACTCTGTCAGCAGTACCCAGAGGAAATTTCTGTTGCAAATGTGCATGACCTAGACCCCCCCTCCCATAGCTCTGTCATGAAAAAGCAAAATGTGTTTGGGCAGAACTCAATAGGAGTGCTTTCAAATAAACCTCAAGATTCTAAAATAACCTTAGAAAATGATGTTGGCTGAGCAAAGACTTCTCCTGGTAACTTTTGGCTTATTGCATCTTTTCCTGCATCCAAAGTCACACAGTGTCATTGAAAGGACAAAGAATATTCCCCATCAAGTGACTTGTGTCTTTTATCATAGAGAAAGAAAGAGATGTCACTAGTTAGAACATAACCATATACTGAATGAAAGATGGCCATGATGTAAAGCAGCTCATTTGTTAACAGTTAACCATTCATAAAGTACATAATCTGTTTCAGAAGGGGAATGTAGAATGACAAAGAAAGAATTAAATGTTGGTTAAATGTGGACAAAAATGAGATAGATTGTTAAAAGGACCTTTAAGTATGACAAATTTTATGAATGGTCCCTTAGGACCATTTAAAAATGGCTAATTCGTAATAAAGATATTGAAAATTGTTGTGCTAGCCTGAATTCAAGTAAAGTATTACTTGGCACTAATTTAATTTAATTAAACTTTGTTAAATTTTGAAAGTTCCCTTAGTAAAAATAATATTTAGATTAGATGTGTGTGTGTTTACACTTCCATATGCTTTCTTTCTTCCTTCATGCAGCAATTGGAAGCAGTGGCTTCAGCCCAAGACAAACTCACCAGTTTTCCCCGCCACAGATATACCCTTCCAAGTAAGATGTCTGTTTCATTAAAAAAATAAAAAAGAAGTAAAGTAAAACCTCATTTATAATTATAATTGAATCCATCTGTAAAATCAAAATTGAAATCACTTTACCCTTGAGAGAGACTGAAGTATGAAACAATCTGAAAATGTATTTTAGACATAGAAAATTGGTTAATTAATTAATTAGTGTTGCTCAGTGGCCAAGGGATTTGGTTTAACCAAAATGATTGTATGTTTCTATCTAATGCAAAGGCTTTCCTGTTTTCTGTCATTGTGCAACAAATAGCAGACCATACCCACATATTCTTCCTACTCCTTCTTCACAAACTATGGCTGCATACGGGCAGACTCAGTTTACTACAGGGATGCAGCAAGCCACAGCTTATTCATCATACCCCCAGCCTGGACAGCCATATGGAATTCCATCATATGGTGAGTAAAGTTATTTGAAAGAGAAACAAATATTTGTGAAGTTTTGTTGGACTGAGAAGTTACTTTGCTGCTGGTAATAGATGTGATGAGAGAAATACTTTCTAGCAGTGCCTAATTATCAAGTTACTATGATATGGCATAAATATTTTAGAAGACAGCTTAGGTAGTAGTCATTATTACAGGATTTTAGAAACATGTCCCTGAATGTGCTGTGTGTCTTCTTTTATGTGTCTTCCTATCCTAGTATATGTAACATGTTGTCTAGTGTTATATATAAGCCCTACCAAATATTGTGTCAAATAGAACATGTCATATGATCAGCATAAGGCTCATGAACAAAGATCAATGCATTTGTCTTTTACTATGTCCTGAATTTTTTATTCCAACCAACCAACCAACCAACAAAAACTGAGTACAAATTTGCCTTGACTTGGATAACCCAAGCAAGCCCTCAGAAGCTAAGCAGGGCTGATCCTGGCAAGTATTTGGATGGGAGACCTCCAAGGATTACCAGAGCCAGGATGCAGAGGCAGGCAATAAGAAGCCACCTCACTGAACATCCTTACCTCCCAGCCCTGCTAGGGGTCACCAGAAGTTAGCTATGACTTCCAGAAATGCACATACACACGTATACACACACACACACGTAAAATACTCACCAAAAACAAAACAAACCCCCCAAAAAACGGTACTGGCACAACTCAGGACTCCTGCCCTAAAGGTTTTGATCTGCCTCTCTTCTGATCTTACCTTCCTTTACTAATCACGGGACATTTTACAAAAACTCACAAGCATATACATGTGCTGGTTGTAAAAAAATACATGCTTTGTCCTGAATTGCTCTGGCTGTTATTAGGTATTTAAAAATTGCTTCCAAAACACAAAGAGTAGACTTCAGACAAATTATGCACTTTGAAGTTCCTTTGATTTCCATGACAGATATTTGAAACCAATAGAACTTCCAAGTACTTTATTTTGGCTGGATTTTGTTTGTACTGCAGGCAAAGTGCAATCCAATTAAACAAAATTTAAAACAATAAATGATAAAGGTAACAGTAGCACCTCTAATCTACAATTGGAAACACATAAAAACTCCATAATAGTACGTCCTGAATTTTGTATTCAAACCAACCAACTAACTAACCAACCAACAAAAAACCCCTGAGTACAAATTTAAAAACAGAAGGATAATGACACCAGGCCCTCACAAAGGTCAAGAGAGGCCGGGCCACTTCCATTTCTGAGGGCCCCCCCCAGTAAATGAAAAAATAAAGAAGTGTGAAAACAATTATACAAAATTAGTAGTATTATATTTTAAATGTTTAATATAATAGGAAGAATAATATTGTAAGACTTTGTAATAAATGATCTTCGACGTGGTCTCTGTACTTCACACCCATGGGATCTAGTGCGCACGCGCTGGATCGATCGGTGCTGTAGCAAGCACTTTTAACGGATTTTCGCGCCCAGACCTCGGGCATGCACAGGAACCCCACCACGCATGCCCAGAGGGGTGGGCGCAGACATCCCGCCAGTTCCTTTCTTACCGCCACGTTGGAAAGACCTTTTTCTTCGTCGGTCTGATCGGTTCGCGTGTTTTGGCTTTCTGCCTCACGGCTCTTTGGATTTTTCCTCAGTTTATTCTTTTTCTTCGTTGTTCTTTCAAAAACTTTTTTAAAAACCCGTTTATTTTCTTCTGAGGGGGAGATTGCCGCTATACCTCAGTCGGGGCCTTCGGGCTACCCCCCCACCCTTCTTTCTTTTTCATTTTGGTTTTTATGGAGAAGAAGTGGGGCTTTTTTAATAGGTGCAAGGGTTGCGGTAATAAAGTTGCTCCTCCTGACCGTCATACCCTTTGCAGACTTTGTCTCGGAGAGTCTCATCGACCCGAATCCTGTCGCCACTGTGCTCGCTTTTCAAACCAGACCCAAAAAGACCAAGCTGTGCGCCTTAAACTGGCCCTGCTAGAATTGGCTCTACATCCTTCCTCAGTGATGGACAACGAGAAACCATCGACATCAACAGCTCCGGCATCGAAAGCGCAATCCTCCGCTTCCACGCCGGTGAAAAAGAAATCCAGGCCAAGTAAGGAGCAAAAGTCCGCAAAGAAGGGCTCTTCCAAACCCCTTAAGGCGGCAAAGAAGGGGAAAGTAGCGGTGTCTGCACTGGGTGATGCCCCTAAAGTGCCTCCTGCTCCAACGACTGTATCGATACCGGAGGCCCAAGTCCCTCCACCGATACCGACCATCCATGTCTTGGACTCCCCTGTCCACCAAATGGAGCGTCCTTACTCTGACATCGAAACGGTAGAGCTCTTAAGTCATCAAATGGATGCAGAGCCTTCTCTGTCTCCTTCCCTGTCGTCGACATTGACTGTATCGGAAGCTCCTGATATCGATCCACGTCGGCACCGATATGCTTCATACGACACGCAGCGTCACCCTCCACGTCTGCACAGTCAATCTGTCGATATCAACATTCGAGATTATACGGGCTCCTCTCAAAGACATGCTGCCGCTTTGTCTCCGAGACGTCCACGGTCCAGAAGTCGATCCCCGCGAGTCTTCTTACCCCCGCCACCACCTCTGTCTTCGGATCAACGACAGATGAGGTATCTGTATGGGGCTTATCCACCATCCTTGCCATGGCTGACTCGGGCGAGCTATTCCGACTGGGATCGATATTCATCCCACTCTGCTCATAGATCGAGATCGCCCCACAGGTCGAGACCTTCAGCATCTCTCTCTCGTCCTCCTGCAGACAATCCTGCCCAGCATAACTTGGATC